AAACGTCAGCTCCCTCGGCCAGTAAAGCGAGATGAGCGCTGCAAACCCAGAGTCGTTCGCAACTAGACTTAACTGTCAGGGGTCCCTTTACCTTTACCTATGAGTTAAGGTAGCATGGTGAATTTGTGTGATTCTCCCCCCCCCCACCGCCATCTATCTGTCTGTCTCTCTCTCTCAGTCTAAAAAGAGATTTGAGAAAATCCATAAGTTGCAATTTAAGTATTAAGCAGGAAAACAGTATTTCAGCCAGAAATAGGGCAGATCTTAACACGTTCACTTCTAGTTTTCTGGCAGTTTCAGAGGTGTGCGTGAATGAACACCAGCAGCACATGCAGTCTTCAGCATGCAGTTTTCCAGCATGCTAGCGCAATCCCCAGAACGTGCATTGAGTTGCCATCAGACTGCATCTAATCACCTCTATACGATAGCACAAATTACTAAATCAGCATGAGCTTTGCCTAGTTTGCTGAGATTAGTCGGGGGGGGGGGGACTAGCCCTCAGCATTGTTCCTTTCTCTAAGAAGTATAGGTTGAATTTGTCCCAATATTCAATTTATTTGAGGGGTGGTAGCACCAAGAAGTAAATTCCTTTAAGGCTGCAGTCATATTCAGAAACAAGCTGCATTGAGCACAGTGGGACCACAGTGCCCATTGTTCTTCTATACAAAGGTTGGAGTAATAGTTACATTGGCACGGTGGTGTTGCTCCAAATGTCCAAAGAGTATGATGTCCAAAAAGTATGATGAACTAGAAACCTTTGGAGGATCAAAATCCAGAATTACTGTAGGTTATTAGGACCCAAAAACAACAACAACAATAATAATGATAAAAATACTGGGGTCACCTCTCACACCACTGCACAAAGCTTTGAAGAAGATATTGAGATGGAGAAGGAAATCAAGAAAGCAACCCAGAGACTAAGTGTAACCATGATGTAGGACTTGCAGTGAAGGTGAAAGAATGTTCCTAGGCCAGTCTTCCCCAAACTGGTTCCCTCCAGACTTTTTGGACTACAACTCCCATCAGCCCCAACCAGCATGGCCAATGGTAGTTGTAATACAAAGTATCTGGAGAACATCAGGTTGGAAAAGCTGCCCTAGGCAATGTGTTAGGATTGGTAGAATTGATCCACAATTATGGTGCTGCAAGCATAAAGAACTGTTTACCCTGCTGGCCTTACTACTACTACTACTACTACTAATAATAATAATAATTTATTATTTATGCCCCGCCCATCTGGCTGAGTTTCCCCAGCCACTCTGGGCGGCTTCCAATCAAGTGTTAAAAACAATACAGCATTACTGACAATGGTGGGCACTGATTTCTTTCGAAACATCATACAGTCTAAAGTGAACAGGGCGGGCAATGGTTGGCTCAATTACACTATTTCCTAGGACTATTAATATTAAGAATAGCTATGTTTTACTTCCAGCCTTCCTCCATGGAGTGTTGCGTGTCTTTCCTTTTTATCCTTACAACTCTCTGAGGTAGGCAGGCAAAGAGATAATGACTGGCCCAGAATCACCCCAAGTGACCTTCAAGGACAGGTGGGGATTTGAACCTGGACCTCCCCATTCCAGCCATCAAGCCATACTGAAATGCTGAAAGATGGAAAACTCCTACGTTGTCCCTATTCCTGACACACAATGTATTTATAGGGTACCACAGAGGGACAGCTGGCTGACTGTAGCTATACTTCAATCCTGTGGTCTGAAACTACAGCTGTTTAGGGCAAGGGTGGCTAGAATGTGGCGCTGCAGATGTTGGACTTCAATGTTCATTGGCCCAGCCAACATGGTCAATAGTCACAGGTGAAGGCAGCTGTAGTCGGGCAACCCCAGCAAGGCCACAGGTTAGGCATCCTTGATCTAGGATCTAGGACTCAACAAATATGAGCAGTTGTTGTGGTTTGTGGAATGCAATAATTCTCCCACCCCAAGTTCCATTCACCTGTCTTCTGCAATACAGTTATGACATGCAATCTCTTTTTCCTTCACGCATCCACACAATGCTCTCACAATTAGGTCTCTCACAATGAGGGGAAATCCACAGCAACACAGGAGGCTGGGTTGCCATATTTTGAAGAGCAGAAAAAGATGGCCATTCAAGCAAATAAATGCAATTTGTCTCAAATTTTACCCCTGGAAAAAGAGGACATGTCCTGGAAAAAGAGGACACTTGGCAACCCTCATTTTCTGAGTCCATCAAGTTCACGGGTAGACAAAGTAAGGCCCAGCGGCCGGATCCGGCCCAATCGCCTTCTAAATCCGGCCCCCGGACGGTCCGGGAATCAGCGTGTTTTTAATTGAGTAGAATGTGTCCTTTTATCTAAAATCCATCTCTGGGTTATTTGTGGGGCCTGCCTGGTGTTTTTATATGAGTAGAATGTGTGCTTTTATTTAGAATGCATCTCTAGGTTGTTTGTGGGGCATAGGAATTCATTCATTTTTAAAAAAAATATAGTCCGCCCCCCCACAAGGTCTGAGGGACAGTGGACCGGCCCCCTGCTGAAAAAGTTTACTGACTCCTGATCTAGTTCAATAATGTCTACACTGACTGGCCGCAGCTCTACAGGATGTCAGACCAGGATCTCTCGGCCCTACCTGGAGATGCCGGGGATGGAACCTGGAACATTCTGCACATTAAAGAGATGCTCTGCCACTGAGCTAAGCCTCTTTCCCAGGAGACTTTAACCTGAGAAGGTAAATGCTAGCGGCAGCCCAGCTCTCTTTTGTTCGGCTCCACCTGTTTCACACAATGACATGATGAGACAGGCTTACAGGCAAGAGTAGGAATAGCTACATCAAAACGATTATGGTGCCCCCCCCCTTCCTGCAAGTACCAATCTCTTTTCGAAACAAATGTCACCGTGTTCTGTATGCCAATGACAAGCACAGAAAAGGAAGATCTTGACAAAAGAGGTCAGAGCCACACACCCAAAAGCACCTTGGACCGTTTTCAAGTAAGGAACTCCCAGGCTGCCATCGGTTGAGCAATTTCCCCAAGCCTCCTCTGACTGGCTTTGCCCCATGTAGAGACAGCACTAGAAGGTGATTTGTCTGCCATTATGTTTCTTTAGTAACACAAAAGCAAGTTTAATAATAATAATAATAATAATAATAATTTAAAAACTGGGAGGCTATGAAAGTTTGAGAAGCTCTTCCCAAACAATAGAGTTACCATTTGTAACATTAGGCCTTTCTTCCTGTGGAGGCGAGTAGTCACAGGTAGAACCACGGACAACTACCGAGAAGGCTACATTTAGGCTGCCTTCTGCAACCTGGTACCCTCCAGGAGTTTTGGGATAAGAACTGTCCTTAGCCCATACCAGCCCAAACATCTGGTGGGTGAAGCCTGGGAGTTGTGGTGCTGAAAAGAAGGCTGTGCTGATGGGTGCCAGTACCCAAAATATTTGGAGGATACCAGTTTCATGAAGGGTGTTTGGAAAGTAAAGAAAACCTTTAGGTCCCATGGATTCAGCTGGAGGACTCTAAAAGGAGGAAGGGAAGGCAATGCTGAAGCTATGGGGTAGCTAGCTGGGTGTTTTGCACTGGGGTGAGGCCTCCAGAGGGGTGCCATTGAAGCTCCCAGCCTGGGGTGAGGGGCTTGCCAAACTAGGTCTTTCACTTGGGTGAAATAAAGCCTAGTTTCACCCCTGGGGAAGGATCACCCCCTAAGCCAGTGGTTCCCAAAGTGAGTGGTACCACCCCCTGGTGGGGCAATGAGCTAATCTAGGGAATAAACAACTACAGTCATACCTCGGGTTAAATGTGCTTCGGGATGAGCGCATTCAAGTTGCGCTCCGCGGCAACCCGGAAGTAACGGAGCACGTTACTTCCAGGTTTCGCTACTCGCGCAGACGCTCAAAACGACGTCACGCACATGCGCAGAAGCGACGAAAAGCAACGTGTGCAGACGTGCCGTCGCTGGTTACGTTTGCTTCTAGATGCGAACGGGTACCACTGTATCTGACTTTTTTAGAAGACTTCTGAAGGCAACCCTGTTTAGGGAAGCTTTTAATGTTTGATGTTCTGTCGTGTTTTAATATTCTGTTTGGAGCTTCCTGGCTGGGAAAACCCAGCCAGATGGTCCGGGTATAAATAATAAATTATTACTACTACTTCTACTACTACTACTACTACTACTAGGGGACTTCTGGAGGTGCAAATGACTATCAGACTTTGATAAGCTGGTCTTGCTGGATCAAGTTCATCGATGTTGTTGGATTAATTATACTAAAAGTTTTTAATTTAAAACGTGCAATTAACTGTTCCTGTTTTGGATTGCCTTGTGCTCTTAACTTCCTTCGTGGGTCCTGCAAACCACTATTCTGAACAATGCTTTTTTTTTTTTACAGGGCCGTGTTCCCCAAATCCTACCGGAGCCTAGAGATGAGCCCTGCTGCAGCCTCCACCTGCTTCATGGCACTCTCTTCCTCAGGTGCTGCAGCAGCAACTAAGCTGTGGTTTCAAACTAGATGACCCTCGGGGGGGGGGTCCCTTCTGCGATTCCTCCTCCGCCACCCGCCTCGCCGACAATTCCCACACAGGCCTAAACACACGTGCTCAGTTCCTCCTCTTCTCCCGCCCCGCCTCAGCCTTCATTGGCGGCCTCCAAGCGGGGCTGGCTCAGGCGGCGGGCGGTTGGTTGCTGCTCCTCCGCCCGAGACCCGGCGCGGCGGTTCCCGGGTGCGCTTGCCGCGAGGAGCCGAGGCTGAGGCGACGGAGTCCAGGTCCCTCCAGTCCCGTTTCTCGCGCAGCGCTGGAGGAAGAGGCGGCCTGAGAGCGCCGGGGAGGCGTTGCCCGGCGAGGCCGGGAGTTCGCCCCCTGCCCGGGCTGCAGAACAACAAGCGAGGAGGAGGCCGCCCCCGAGCAACTCCTGGGCGAGCGCTGGGGACGCCGCCGCGTCGCTTTCCCGCCACCAGGGTGGCCGCTTGGGTAGCGCGGGAGGGCGAGCGCGAGGCGCCTCAGCAGCAAGTGGCGCCGCCGCCGCCCCGCGCAGACCTCGCAGGAGGCGGGAAGCGCAGCCGCGAGGAGGCAGCGCTCGGCGGCGGCTCCCCCTGCCCCGGCCGGCCGCCATGGCTGCCGCGGCGAGGCGACGGCGAGGGACTCGAAGCGGTGGCTGCTGCCGCCGCCTCCTCTGGAGGAGTCCGAAACAAGCGCCCCAGTCGAGAAGAGGTAAGGGCTAGGAGCCGACGGGAAAACCCCTCTCCTCTTCACATACCAGTATTTTGCGGGAAGGTTTCAAGTGCATACTGGAAATTTAGGTTTGCGCCATTAAAGTGGATTAAAGCACTCTGTCACCCTGCTACAGCAAATCCACTGTTTTAAAAAACTGACTTTTGCAGAAGGGAATGTGACATGGCCTCCCTCCATAAAATATTCGAGCCCCCCCACCCCAGTTGATGGGCATTGCCATTCAAATGGTGTGCGTGCCCCGCAGCTGGTGATCGATAAACCAATATTTTATTCAAGTTGGCACCCGTGTAAAGCAGCCCAAAGAGCCAGTAGGCTTTCAGTTTCCTTTCCTTTTTACCATCCTGAGAAAGGAAGTATCTGCACCACTTCGGAGGGTCATTGCAGAGCTCCTCCTCCTCCTTTGCATGTTTGCATTTATTTACTTATTAGTTACATTTACTTTTCCCAGTTTTGTTTTTTTTTAACGAAGAACGTCCAAAATCCCCTCCAAACCCATGCCAAAGTTTTGCTGCGAATTCGTAGTTAACGAAGCTCTTTTTTCCCCCTCCCGGGAGCTCGAAAGTGATGTGCATTTGCAGCTTCCAGGCAGGCTGGTCCATGAAATAAAGCAAGGCATGGCACAGCAGACTGTCTCTCTGTCAGGTTTTGTACAGGGCTACGAGGTGCACTTGGTCCACCAAGTGCAGTGCAATCCCCCTGCCAGACCACTGGCACCCCGTTTTATCCACACAGCAACCCTGTGATGTGGGTTAGGTGGAGAGGCGGTGGCTGGCCCAAAGTCACCCAGTAAGTTTCGTGGCCAAGTGGGGATTTGAACCCTGGTGTCTTCCTCGAGTCCTAGTTTGACATCCTAATCATTGCCCCTTTGCTGGCCAATAATTAAATGCAGGTTCGACATGAGCAAAAGGACCTTGAGGATCATTTTTTAAAAATTTAAAAGATTATTTCAGTTTTCCACGTATTATCTCCCATCAGGTAAAGAGAGAGAGAAATGTATACTGCGTGTGGGCTTACAAAGTAAGAGAAAAGCACAAGACTTTTCTCTTAGTTTGGTAGATGTGGGAGATCAGTTTGACATTGCCAGAATAAAGTGGTGCACTTATGGTCCGTTGGGCTGGGTAGTCTTGCAAGGGATGGAAGTGCTGCAACTAACCCACCTGCCCTTGTTCCTCTGGCTGGTGGGAAAGGCTAACTAGGAAATGCCCAGCACCCTAGAGCGTAGAGGCCTGGCAGGGGAATTCCACTGCACTTGGTGGACCAAGTGCACGTCGTAGCCTTGTGCAAAACCTGGCAGAGAGACATTCTGCTGTGCCATGCCTTGCTTTATTTCATGTAAAGGACCAGCCTGCCTGGAAGCTGCATCTTCTGTCGCACAGTGAAGTCAAAACCCAGAGTATTCACAGTAAATGAATAAAACTTCATTGAGTTAAACATATTTCTTTACAAACACATAATGGAAGAGAGCAAAGTAAAAACCAGGCACCCCCAAACTCGGCCCTCCAGATGTTTTGGGACTACAACTCCCATCATCTGTAGCTAACAGGACCAGTGGCCAGGGATGATGGGAATTGTAGTCCCAAAACATCTGGAGGGCCATGTTTGGGGGTGCCTGGTAAAAACAGAAGATTAGACTAGGCTAGAGAGCACTCCATGTGTCTTCCTGCAATTGATACAATATTTGTACAAGGAATGAGTCATCTAGCTGAACGAGTATGCACTTTTCAGCATTTTCCAACACTTTCCGCACTTTACTGCTTCTGCTCTCAAAGACCTTTGTCACATGACATCTTCTGAGCTATAGCCATTGCAACAAGAAGCCATGGATTGCCTTATCCTCTGTGTCACAACTTATTCCTATTCCTGCATGTGTGGAGACGGGTGAGACCGTTTAGTTAGCCTGCACATGTTCAGCGATGCTCTCTTTTTCTCTTGCTTCACAGGATTTGGGGCTGCAGCCTGGCAGTGTAGACAGATCCCAAGGCGTAAGCTCAGATTCTGTTTATGATAACAGCAGTGCCTGTGGTGAGGTAACTCCCAGCTGCTTTTCCAGTTGCTATGAAATATATCAGGGTGTTGCCAAAACTGCTGGAGAGGTCCTGGGCATTGAACAGAATTGTCTCTGTGCTGAAAGTTGTAGGGTTTTCTTTACACCTTGTATTACCTCTTCCATCCCCCATACTACTGTTACTTTGGGGGAAATGTGGATCCAAAGCTGTCAGAGAGCCAGCGTGGTGTAGTAGTTAAGAGCGGTAGTCTCGTAATCTGGGGAACCGGGTTCGCGTCTCCGCTCCTCCACATGCAGCTGGGTGACCTTGGGCTAGTTACGCTTCTCTGAAGTCTCTCAGCCCCACCCACCTCACAGAGTGTTTGTTGTGGGGGAGGAAGGGAAAGGAGAATGTTGGCCGCTTTGAGACTCCTTCGGGTAGTGATAAAGCGGGATATCAAATCCAAGCTCTTCTTCTCTCTTACAAACTCTTCAAACTCTCAGTGGGTCTTGCTCCCAGTGATGACTTGGTGATGATGTCCAAAACAGTCTTAGTCTAATGTCCAAAATAAAAGTGTGCACTGCACTGTGGGTTTGGGAATTTGATGGGAGCTGAAATTCAGAAATAAGAGAGGTCTTTCTACAAAGCTATGATGCTGTAGAATATACATCAACTTTTAAATGTGAGGGCATCTAACTACCATATTAAAAAAGTTGGGGCTTCTAGCAGTACACACTCCTAGGAAATAACGATGGTTACCTTTTCAGATTGCTGGTTCACACTCATGCAAGCGGCCTTTCTTTAACAGAACAGTTTGTAGGGTGAGGAGACAGTTGTTTCTGCACATATTTTTCTTCCAAAAGTGTTTTTCAGCTTACCTGCTTGCACATTCAGTTCCATCTTTATTTGGTTATTCAAACATCAACAGGAGTTTCTTTTTTCTTTTTTGTTCTGAAAGTTGCATGTTGCTTTCCGACAGGCAATATACCTTTAGTCATTGTTCCAACTCTCACTGAAAGGGGAGTTTCCCCACTGACACTAATGAGTACTGGTTTTTGCTTTTTAATAATCGCTTGATTAAAGAGAATGTAATACCTTAAGAGCTTGCAGATCAGCTCTGCTGCTGTGTAATTAAATGTAGCTACTGGAAAACAGTGTCAGGTTTACACATTGGTCCTAATCCTGCTAAGAACAAAGTATATTTAAAGCTGATGCAAAAGCACACTATCTTTTAGTTTATCCAACTAGTCTCTCGGCTGTAATCCACAAGACAAAGTTTAGAGGCCATTTAAAATTAAGAAAAATAGAAGAGCAAACAGTGCTAAAATAAGTGTGAAGATAAAGATAGCTTTCCCCCTTGCAGAAAGAGGCACATTTTAGTTCATTTAAATCAGTGGAATTAAGCTTGCTTTACTATATATTTGATGGTGGTCATGGTATGTATGTATCCCTTCTTATACTTTCCACCAAAAATTATTGTTGAAGTATTCAGACTTAGAGTGTGGTAGATTCTAACAATGCATTCTTACACTAGTCTCCTCAAAAGTAAGTCCCATTGAGTTCAACAAGGTTTCCTCCCAGGTAAGAAGGTATAGGCTTGTAGTCCAAGTTCCTTGACATTGTGGCTCCAATATATGGTTTATGGATAATCCTCTGGTGCTTAAGACTTTTCATTGTGTTGTGTTGTTGTGTTGTGTTATCCACCTTTTAGTAATGCAAATTTATGTTATGTCTAGTGGGAAGTAAAATTGACACTACTGTCCAGGACACATAACCTAAATGTGCATGCTGCAACTACTTTGAATTTTGTTATATTAGCCTGTACTGCAAATGTAAAAACCTCTGTCAGCAAGAATACACACTTGATTTCCCTTCCACGTTCTGTCCTGAATAATCCTTGGAGCACACTAGTACACAAGAGGTGTGTAAGGATAGCTCTGCTAGACCACAGATGAGCATCCTTGCTTGTGACAATAGCCAGCAGCAGAGGTGCTTCCCCAAAACCCACAAGGAGGGCTTGAAGGCTACAGCTGTCTTCTCCTCAGCAAGTGGGACTTAGTGGCCTCCTGCCCCTCTGAAGTTGGAGTTACATAAATGAATAGGCATTGATCAAAGAGGTTTGATGATGGTCTAGACTAGAGGGTCCCCAATATGCTGCAGATAGTACTTCAAATGCCTGGCTGAAGCTTGCAAGGAGGCATACTTGATCAGCAAAGCTTTGTTTTTACTCAGGCTGAATGCAACCCATAGTTGCTAAGGGTTTCAACAGCACTGCAATATAAACTGCAATCCCATGCCATGTGCTTGCATGCTTCAAGATCCAATAGACTTCAGTGAGACATTTGGAAACAGGTTTAATTATTCAGCCTTAGACTTAGGTTTCAAACATGTGCTTGCTTGTTCACAGTGACACTTACTGACAGGTAGAAGAGCATACAATTGTAGTCATAGGAAAAGAGGTGGGGTTCTTTCATTAAAAGAAGCTTGTGCAGAATTGACCATGAGATAAGTATATTAGACCATTTTATCCAGCTTGCCCTTGACAAATATTTTGTTGGGTAAGACTCTTAGGAGCATAATGATTGTCTTAGCTTTTTGGTTTAGGAACTCTTAAGAGAAGTGTGTGCAAATACCAATGCCTTTGCAAAAAGTAGGTTTTGAGATACAATAAAAATTCCAATCCTGACTTTCAGTTCATTGCCACACGACTTAAAATGCCTACTGTTTCTGTTTTGATATACGTTCCCCCACTTGTAATGGAATTTTGTTTTTACTTGGCTATGATTCGAGATCTGTTACTTCCGTAGGTAGTTGTAAAACTAGTTTCTCCACCCTAACCTAGAGGGATCTGAGCACTGGAGCAAGAGATGACTACCGTAATTTTCAATTCTAGTTAACACCAAACTTCTCTTGAGAACTTCAGCTGGAGTGTCTAAAAGATACACAGGGTGTAAGGGAGGTGGTGGGCCTGTTTAGATAGCCCGCCATCAGAGTCTAATGGATCCTGGTGTCTTCCTGAATGCAGGCATTTTCCAGTGGAAAAAGCTGATGATCCTGTTGAAGCTCTCACTGTGGAATGGTGAGATTGGATGTTCAGTTGGCGCAATACTTCCAGAATGGCTTCTCCAGCATTGCAGAGCCTGCTTGCCTCCTTGGTAATCTGGGGATCTTCAGGCTATACAAGCTAGACTCAGACTAGAGCATAAGTAGTGCTCTCCTTATTTCATTCTGAAACCAACCAAGCACTGGCCAGTGTCTACCATGTGGCAGTGTGAGCTGCGAAGAAGGCTCATTTTGCAGCTTTCATTGTATCCTCTAGTCTAGTAGCTGGCTGGAGAGGTTGCTGTCCCCTGCAACAGGGAGGGGCCTTTGGAAAATTCAAGGACCTGCTGTGACCAGCTGGCTACACATTTTGTGGATAAAGTTGCTTGACTTCGGAGTGGCCTTGATTCAGTGGTTGCTGCAGTTCCAGATGAAGTACCCAGTGCCAGAGTTGGTGAGATTGGTTTCAGCTTATGCAGGCGGCTAACGTGGGCAAGGCTGTATGCTGACCATGCATTCTCTTGACCCCTAACCCTTCTGGGCTTCTTAAATCTAGCAGAGGGAGTTTAATTATCTGGGTCTAGAGCATGGTCAATGCTTCATTGCATTAGCAATAACTATCAACCAGTTGCAAAAACCCGCTTGCTGGGGAAGTGGGTGCAGAGAATTGCAGTGGGGAACCTGCAAGCATTTGTGGTTAATACACATTCTTTTGATTGATTCCCTGGGTTCAGGCATGGGCATGGGACTAAGTCTGCCTTGGCTACCCCAGTGAATGACATTACAGATAGAGGGACAGGGTATGTGTGAGTTTGCTCTTGCTTTTTGACCTCACTGCAACTTTCTGTACCATTCGCTACTGCATTGTCCTCAACCGGCTCCAGGCAATGGGAATTGGGGTTACTGTGGTACATTGATTTCAGCACTACCTACAGGACCAGGTCCAGAAAACAGCATTGGGAAAGTGCTGTTTGGCTCCCTGGAAGTTATCCATATGAAGTCCCTGGGAGTGGTGGTTGGGCATTTGGGGGCAAGGCACCATCAATGTGTTGATGACTTTCAGCTCTGTTTCTCCATCACATCTGAATCAGGAGAGGCTGTGCAGGCCCTGGACCAGTGCTAGACACAGTGGTAGGATGGATGAGCGGGGCATTTTTTAAACATAAGTATGGGCAGAATTCCTTCGCCACAGCCCTTATGACTCCTCCCCACCTGTGACATGTGCTTTTGCTTGACCCTAGTTTACATTTGGAGAAAACAAGATGCCTATTTAGAAGCTGTTTGCATTCTCATCTAGACTGCAATTATAGATTTGCCCATCCTGTTTCACCCGAAACTAAGTTTGCTGGCCACCAGTGCAATTTAGGCCAGAAGAACCACCTGGTTCAAGGCATGCTGCCAATGATTCTGATATTGGTGTTTTGTTGAGGTGCGCAATGCCAAAATGCTGAAAGTCATGCAAAGTGAGAACTGGTGGAAAGTGAGGTCTCTCACTGGTGTGTGTTCCTGAAGCAGACAGCACTGCTCACCCAGAAGCACACTTGCTTGAGAGGTGTTGGTTCACCCAGCACACTAAGCCAAGCCATTGCTTTGCAAAACAGCTTGAATGTGTGGGCTTCCAGAGAGGAACTTGCATCTACTTTGCTCTTTGCTGCTACTTTGCTGCTGCACCTTGCAAAGCTTAGCCATGGCTTGGCTTCGGGTGCCATTTGAACTGGGACTCACTGCTAATCACAAGCTGTAACCAAGAATGGGAGACCAAGGTTTGCCTTAGTGTGACATGCAAACCAGACACACATACATTTTCTCCTCTGCTCATATTTGATGCAGTATCCATTCCTGATTGATTTCTTTTAAGCAACATCTCTCTTATGTGATGTTCATGTGCAGTTCTTGCAAAAACATGTTTTGAGTGTGTTCACAATGCTGTAGGCTTGAGCAGCTGAGAAGAGGGCTTGGGGATGTACCAGACCAACTTGCACCGCTGCAAGAGGTTTTGTGTTTTAACATAAATAGAAACATTAAGGGTTGTGGAGTATATAGGGGAGGAGGAGATGTGGGTGGTGAAGTGTTGTTTTGAAGCAAACATACTTTCTCCAATTAGGTAGGACTCACAGCAGCAACTTTGCACTTAAACAATGAAGCACATGAATAAAAGACAGGAAGAGGAGAGTGGGTGTCGAGGTAGGGCAGGAGGCGGTTCAAAATGCGGTTCTGTTCCTTACAGTCATTGCAATTAATTGATGAAGCTACTTAAGTGTGCACTTCTAAAAGCAGTCCTTTCAGATCCCTGCTAACAGCAGAGGGCTTGGGGAGAGGGAGGAGGAATGCCTACTGAACTCAAAGCATAAATTCACATGCTGGAGAGAAGGAATTTTTTTTTAAAAAAAACACTGATTTCAGAGCGGAGTGGAAGACCTCCTACATGCTGCAAAAGGGAGTGGATTCTTCTTTAGCGGCATGGGAATGGGTTTGACAACAACTGCTGAAGAATGCCAAGATTTCCACACCCTTGCTCTTGCTGTCAGTCAGTGGAAAGGGAAAAGCTGGCACAATGAGGCAATGCCAGCATTTGGCTTCTACAAAGTCTTAAGGCAGGGGTCAGCAACCTAAGGTCCATGGGCCACAAGCGGCCCACGGGGGTCGTTTAACTGGCCCACAAGCTGCCCCTGAACTGAGCCACCCGCTTGGCGAGTCCCCGCGCACTGCACTAAACCAGTGCTGCGCAGGGACTCGCTTCTGCAGCGCCGGAAATCGTGTCTGTGCAGACGCCAGAAATCGCATCTGCACAGGTGCAGACGCCAGAAATTGTGGGTGGGTGCATGATCCAGTCCACGGAGGGATCTCCGCTGGAGTGAACCGGCCCAGGTGAGGTAAACCTTGCCAACCTCTGTCTTAAGGGATGTCAAGCAGGAGAGACAGACAGGATGGAGGAAAGCAGACTATGACCAAACATACCATAGTTACTGTGACCATATGCAGAATGTTCATTGGCTTAAGTGTGGTTTGTACGATAAACCATGGTTTCAAAACTGTTTTTATACTGCAGCTGACATACACCCTTGTGGTCTAACCATGGAAACAGGTGCATAAAGAACAGTGAGATGGGATTTCATTTACTACCCCCCCCAATAATACAAACATATGCCTAATATAATGGAACACAGATGGAACCAGATCTTTCAAGTTTAAATACTTTATGTATAAGACTGAGTGAATATATTTCCCCCCCCCCCAATCTTTTGTTGCGGTCTGGTGTTACAACATTGCCTGGAAAAATGTACATTTGAGGTTTGGTGGCCACATGCAAAAGAGCTTATTGGAGAGTGTGTGTGTCATTGACTTACCAGGAAAAGGGTTAGGGGTTGATGGGCTGCAACTATACTACTAGAGAAACAAAATACTATTCTGACGTGTGTCATTTCCTAGTATGCTGGTTGCTGACACATTACAGTGCTGAAAATTATTATTGTTTCCTGTTTCTCCTGATATTTACAGGATGTAGACTTAAAAGTGAGCCAGGAACGTTTGGAACACTGTTGCGTTATAGAAGATGAAGACTCAGAATCTCAAGAGGAGGAAGAGGGTAAAAGCGACCAAGTGGATTGGAAAGAGAAGCTGAGTCCAGTTACCAGCTCTTCGGTGAGAGTCATAAAAGTTGTATTGGGCCATATACGGTTAAGAATAGACCCATTGAAATCAAGAGTCTTTTGGTAGTCTTGCCCATTAAGGTCAATGGTTTTATACTGAGTATGACTCACATTGAATTCAGTCCATTGCCCGGGATCCTAAGTTGCTCATCCATTCATGTATGATGGCGGAGATTCTCACCAAGTCCCCTGTCTCATATCCCACACCATATCCCAAGGGTCCTCAAGCTCCCTGGGGTAGATTTTCAGGGGGCTGTAGAAAGAAGGGGGAGGAAGGAAAGTCTCTTTCCATAAACAAGACTTCTGTTCCATTCACAGAAGGAAAATTAGATCCCCAGCCATCAATATTAGTGTTTTTGAAAACTGATTCAAATATTGATTTATTCATGGCAAGTCTTTATGAACATTTTTGAAATGTATATATTCGCAAATATAATTGTGGGAATAGCCTGTCATGTCTTAAAAGATATCGTTAACTTCTTGCTGCACCAGTTACATGGTTATTATTTTCCCCAACCCCAAAGTTGTGGTCCGCTCTTTTCTCTTTAACATCTCTGAATTATTTTTTTTTAAGTTGATGTGGTTTTGCTTTAAATCATAAAACAGCTCTAGTATCAAAAGACTCCAGTTCTGACCATTATAAACAATGAATTTATGAAAGCATGTTCAGATAACTGCTGTTTACTAAAAAGTTTTACAATGTGGCATTTAAAAAAAAAAAAAAACCATGGAAGTGGTGGCAGCTTGTAATTATCAAACTATTAGGGCAAGTATTACCACTTCCTCTGTAGCTGCATGAAAATCTAATGGTCAGCAAGGTTTACCTCGCCTGGGCTGGTTCACTCCAGCGGAGATCCCTCTGTGGACTGGATTGCAGATGCGCGTGAGTGTGCTCCCCCGCGATTTCCAGCGTCTGCACAGATGCGGATTTCTGGCGCCGCAGAAGTGAGTCCGCACGCCACGCTGGTTTAGCACATTGCGCGGGGGCTCACCAAGCGGGTGGCTCATGGGCCGATTAAATGACCCCCGTGGGCAGCATGTGGCCCATGAGTCTTAGGTTGCCGAACCCTGTGCTAGATGGAAGACAGCAGCCCAGTTCTGGGGTCCTGTTGTAAGCTTTTAATTGGCTGTCACGTGAACTCCTGGTTGTCTGAATCCACTCTCTGTATGCAGCGAACAACATCTCAGAATGTGCTATCCTATAGTGCTTCTTCACAGATGTACTGCTGGCCAGTTAACTTGGTATGAAGATAGCATGCTTTGTTGTTTACAAATGTTACTGTCACTCAGCGACATGCATATTTACTTAATACATTTTATATACCACCTGTCAGCCAGTTGGTTCCTAGGGCAGTTGAGAACAGGATAAAGGGGTTGCCGGCCTCTTTGAGGCCCCTGGGCACATTTAGAATTTTGAGTTTTGCAGCTGTATACATCTCCTGTGGCTTGAAGTGGTGTCTTTTTCCTGATCCCTCTTACAATCCTAATTACAACTTTCCATTAACAATGGATAAATGTCTATTAATTGTGGGGGTTTTTTGGGGGGTGTGGGGTTTACAACAGGCTTACAGAAGCACTACTGGTTCTGCTTTCCCACTGGAAGGTTATTTTCCACTGCCAGCATCACTGACTGAAAATACATTGGAAGTAAGTGTTGCAATTTGCACATAAGCTTGTAAATTATCTCAAAGTTGGAAGCATGCTTCTGCAATAACCCAGTTAAAGCAACTCTTTCAGATCCTGATCTTGTCAGAAATGCTGCAACTGAACTGCACCATTTTTCCTTTTACTATTTACTTCCAAAACGTGTGATTTGCCGAAGTAGAATCTGAAGAATTGTTTTAAAACCATTTCCCCCGATTTCTACAGCTCCATTCTAGGTGTCATGACAGAAGACTCTGATTACACCATGGAAGCTAAAGTAGTAAGCTGAACCTGTAGTGAATGAAGTGTAGCAAGTGATTAGGGGTGCATTCATTTTTCCTCAATTTGACTAAAGGGTTCCACGTGGCACACCTTTCCAAGGGAGCATGCCAGTGGTAGGTGGAACAAATGTGACACTTCTGCTTTCAGCTGTTGACTACATTTCAGTCAGGCAAGATCACTCAAGAGCAGGGTTAAGACAGGGTGTGTGACCAGGTGAGAGTCATGAGGGTCAAATGGAAAAGCCCTGGAGGGCCTCAATTTGCCCCAGGCCCTGAGGTTCCTCAGCCCTGATTTAGAAAATACCTGTGGTGCCCTACAAGGCTCATCATAATCACCTGTGTTGTTAATCTTATGTGTGGAATTGTTAAAATGATAACTCTCCTGCCTTTAGACAGCACATTCAACAACATGCTGCCCTCCAAGTCTGTATTTTATTAACATAAGCACCCAGCAGAAGCTGTATCTATTCTAAACCAAAGTTTGGATAGTAGGGGAAGGTGTGTAGATATTTCTAAATATATGCAAGTATGTGAGGAACTACCTAGCTAGGGCAAACAGCTGAAGATGCTTTCATTTAATATACCGGTAATCATAGAGGTGGAAGGGATCCTGAGGGATCATCTAGTCTAACCCCCTGCATTGAAGGAATATGCAGCTCTCCCTTATGAGGATTGAACCTGCAACCTTTGCATTCTCAGCACCACACTCTAGCCAGGATGGGCCCAATGTTCAAGATGTAATTTTGAACCTTTTCAAGCTCTTCTTGCATGCCTCAGTATATCTTTCCCTACATTACCTCCACCCCAATGTCTGTTGGATAAGCTCATAAGAATTCTGCCTTTAAAAATGGAGAAGACAAGGTGTGGGCTGTGAAACTCGTGCCTCTATGTTGCAAGTTTTAGAAAAACAATTCAAGCTGCTCCTGTTTCAGCAGAGGTGGGTAGTGGTGGTTTTCCAATTTGTATTGCAGTAGATAGCAGACAGGGACGCGGGTGGCGCTGTGGGTAAAACCTCAGCGCCTAGGACTTGCCGATCGTATGGTCGGCAGTTCGAATCCCCTCGGCGGGGTGAGCTCCCGTCGTTCGGTCCCAGCTCCTGCCAACCTAGCAGTTCGAAAGCACCTCTAAGTGCAAGTAGATAAATAGGGACCGCTTTATAGCGGGAAGGTAAATGGCGTTTCCGTGTGCGGCGCTGGTGCTGGCTCGCCAGAGCAGCTTCGTCACGCTGGCCACGTGACCCGGAAGTGTCTCCAGACAGCGCCGGCTCCCGGCCTCTTGAGCGAGATGAGCGCGCAACCCTAGAGTCTGGCAAGACTGGCCCGTACGGACAGGGGTACCTTTACCTTTACCTTAGATAGCAGACAAGCTACTGCATCTTACTGGGTTCTTTTTGATGTTTTCCTCAATACTCTTTCAGGCTGCCATTTTTAGTGATCACACTCTTTCTGTAACAGCTGGTATTTGCAGAAAGCATTCTCTGTGTTTAAAGTATTGTGGGGGAGGGGGAAATAACACATTTTAAATTATACAAAGGGCTGCTGTTGAACTGGCTAGAAACTATTTAACCATAGGGAGAGTTGCAAGGTTTCAAAATAACATAGAAAACATATTTTCATTTTGCTCCTTCTTTTAGGAACACTGGTTGGGAAATACTATGCCTGTTATCAACAGCAGAGGTATGAACCTGTCAAACTTCCACAATACAGTTAATTTGACTCAGGCTATTAGCCGTGATGTTAGTCTTCATGATGCTACAATGATGAAATCAGACCACAATACTATAGTAAATGCAGAGAAAAGGAATTTGGAGATATTGGAGACTCTGTCATTAACCGATTCTCACACATCGCTAATGAATGGTGTCAACATGCTTGGGGTTTTTGCATCTGATAATTGTACGAATCTAACAAACCAGGATTTGTTCTTGAGCCTGGATGGACATGGATTTGAAGCTTCCTGTTTCTTTGAAGAACGGGATTCTGATTCTGGACTGTCTTTGGATTTAAATCATAGCAATTCATCCCTTGTTTTTACCTGTGACAGTGACGCTGAATCTGCCACCTATGATGATTTAGCTGTAGAATACAGCAAATGTTACCACACAGATTATCAAAGCAATTATGATCTCAGTGCAGAATTGTTTGTAGATGTGTTGCATGATCACACGTACAGCCAAATCCCACAACAGCTGGCACCCTGTGCGCCAGAAGACTATGACTTCATGTGGCCAGAGAAATCCAATAAAGCCAGAAGTAGAAATGGAGATAACACAGGGAAAAACCAAAGCCGTGATGAATACCGCGCAGAAGCCCTGAGAATTCCATTCTCTGTAAATGATATTGTGACTCTGCCTGTTGATTCCTTCAATAGCATGTTATCAAAATACTACTTGACAGATAACCAGCTATCACTCATACGTGACATAAGGCGGAGAGGGAAAAACAAAGTCGCTGCTCAAAACTGCCGCAAACGTAAACTAGATGCAATTATGAACCTGGAAGATCAGGTGTGTCACCTTCAAGCACAAAAGGAAAAGCTCAAGAAGGAAAAAGCCCAGTGCAATAGATCAATTAGCAATATAAAACAAAAACTAAATGATCTTTATTGGGACATTTTGAGTAGATTAAGAGATGACCAAGGAAGACCTGTTAACCCAAGCCAATACTCTCTACAGTGTTGTAAAAATGGCAGTGTTTTGGTTGTACCTGGAAAAGCCATCAAACTGGAACTGAAACAAAATAATCCAACCAAAAAAATGGCTAGATAGAAAATATTTCTCTTTAGCTACTGAAATGGAAAGGGATGTTTCTTAATTATTCTTAAATACTGTGACATTCACAGTTAGTTTACACAGGGAAAAATAAAGTTTGGTAAGGATCTACTTTGATTATCCACATTATCAAAATATTTTTAAGACTTGTATACAAAAAAACCAAATAAATAAAAATTGTGTACTATAAATGAAATGTCTAAGCTCTTGGTCTGTGAACACAGGCCTAATAGAATCAGTTCTTAACTGAAGATTTCTCTTCATCTGAATAAATTATTAGTTAAACCATATTGCATAATTTATTCAGCTTTGCTAATCATGGGCGGAGGCAGAGTTCTTGCAACTTAAAACTTCATTCTTTCATAGCCAGAACCAGGCAACAGTTTAAATGCTGAAAAGGGAATTGTTCTCTTTTATTTATTTTTATTCCTAAACTTACCTACCGCTTGATTACTCACAATCCGAAGTGGTGTACATAAAAAAATCCACAAGCAATAAAATTACCATAAGACCAAAACACTTCCTAAAAATGCCTGTTAGAACAAGGAAGTCTGAAGAACATGCCTTACGTTTCTCAAGGAAGCTGCCAGCCTAATCTGTTGCGATTTCCGCATGCTTGTGCCCGCTTCACAAAATACAACTTCCAGTAGTTACAAGCCATGCATCCAAGACTCTCCCAAAGAACTGAGTGATTGGGCTGGGTTATAATGGATCCGATCGTGTTTAAGAGATCCTACAACTATGTTGTTAAGGGTCTTGTAAATTGTCAGAGCTGTGAGCTTGGTCTGGAAACATTGGCAGCAATTTCAGTGGCCACTGATATCAATAGCTGCTGACAGACCAAGATGGAGCAGAGCTATCCATTCCCACAAACCTACTTTTGATACAGATCTTCCCTCAGGGCGATCAAGGCAGATTCAGTTCCACAACCATTGCTGCCCACATCAAGGCACGTAAATGTAAATCAGTCCCATAAAATATGTGAAGGTGCTGCATTGGACACACAAACTTCTACACCTTTGGCACTACGGAGCAGTGATGTTACCTTTGAAGTGCTGGACAAACTGCTTAGTGTTCAGAGAACCACCCACCACTTCTGGTAGCTAGTCTCTAGATCAGTGTTTCCCAACCTTGGGCCTCCAGCTGTTTTTGAACTACAATTCCCATCATTCCTGACCACTGGTCTTGCTAGCTAGGGATGATGGGAGTTGTAGTCCAAAAACAGCTGGAGGCCCAAGGTTGGGAAACACTGCTCTAGATCACCTGCAGTAACAACTCAAGGACACAATGTTGGCTGTGAAGTAGTTCTTTGCAGTCTTCACTGCCACTTGGTAGACAAAGCTTTGTGACCTTACAAGTGTTTGATCAGCTTTGAAGTGTTTTCCATCATCTGTGCTCCAGTTGTGTCCCAGCCTTTCATTGCCTGCAGCTCCTCAGCGAACCGAGGAGCAGTGCAGACCCTGGGAATGAATACCCCCATTACACAATGAGACCAGGGTCTCAAGAAGATCACTGGCTCGATCCACTGGAAAATCCCCAGAGCAGTCAGGAACCTATTTTGTTCCCTTAGTCTCCACAGATGCACCATCCAAATGGGTTCCCCACATTTGCAATGTTGAGGTTGCTGCCAAAAGTCCAAACTTCACCAGAAAGTAATCTGACCATGACAGGGGGGCTATGGACCACACTTGTATACAATCCTTCTACCCGCTACGTGCAAATACTAAATCATGGGTAAGTCCTGTGAATAACACATTTTCCCCCATTGACACCTTGTCAAACAGGTTTTTGAAACTCTGTACTAACCTGCTAATCTGGTTTGATAAGGTAGTTATTTGAATGTATGCATCATGATGGTGTCTTGTCAGTCCAAGCCTATCTTTGCATAAAGTCTTAACCATTTATTTAGGTTCTTGTGTTACTGCCTGCACCATCCTATTAATTTTTACTCAGAAATCTGTGTTGAAAAGGGTTTATGCTCAGGAAAGTATATTTGGGATTGCTGTCTTGATTTGTGTCTAGTACCAAATGTTATACTTGCAGTGTTCTGGAAAACAAATGCAGCCCTTTCAATGCATAGAAATGGAAAGTAATCAATAGGATTTGCTTTCCTGCAATTTTACAAGCAAAACAGCAAATTAATTGCCACATGAAATGTAAAACGACCACTTCATTGAACGCATTGAAATGCAAGTAGAGCTTGCACTTTATAGAATTTTGAATTCACCCTGTTAGCATTTGAATGGTCTAAATTATAAACTTTAAATTTATAACTTATTTAAATATTTTATATTTTTACCTTTGTACAGTAGTATAAAGTGTTTCTGTTTGCTTATTGTTGTCGTTATTAATGATTTCAGATACTGTTACAATTACTTTATTTTGGAGGAACATGCCAATGAGCTTCTGCAATATAACCAGCCATGCATTACACAGCACACCTGGTAGCAGAGTCCTGCTACCTTTTCACTCTACAAGTGCTGCGTTAAATTCAGCTCCCTATTTACAATCAACAAGCATGTATGCTTCAAAATAATGAGTGTAACAAATAGTAGAGTAGGTTAACTCTTCCAACACCATGTTCATGCAAAGTTTCTTAAATTTAACACACCTTAAGTACACTTTGATTTTGTTTTTGAAGAGGGCCAGAGTATTGCCCTTAACCACAAAAATAAGACATGCCCTTTTGAATAAATCCTAGCTCAGATATGCAGGAATATTCAGAGAGAGATCATATGTAGCTTTAAAGAAAACCACGGGCTTTACTGCAAGATATAGTGTTAAAAAGAAGATTCACAGAGGCAATGTCTTTTTAATGATTTTTTCCAACATTGTGTCAGTGCTTAAAGAACTATCTAAAACGACATTCAAATGGCATTCTAGTTGTTTGAAGGTGTTTCTGTGCAAGGTTCAGTAGATCCATGAGCATGTTTAGGTCACACTGGGGAATGGGGTGCAGAAAAGGGTGACCCGCTTAACAAACTTCTGCAGATATTGATATTGTACCCACAGCATATTGATACCTCCCTCTTACTTGGACACCCAAATTGGATCTAGCCAACGAGATACCATAAAATATGCTGTGTGTTCCCCTCAAAGAGTTCCTATCTTCTAGATTGAAGTGTCATGCAGTAGTAGGGTTTATATTTTAACTGTATGAAATGTTAAAATGTTATCAGACTAGAAATATTTTTGTATAAAAGTTTATTATCACTTATAAAAAATATGACACAGTATTTGCTGTCTTAAAACATTAATTTTGATTTCCTATTCAGGCTGAATTCTAAGAACAGGTGCTACTATAGTTTTATATATTTTAAAAAGCATTACAATAGGCTGCACTAATATTAATTTAACCTAAAAAGGTTTTATAAAACCAGCAAAACCATCTATTTTGTGATGAGCATAGAAAAATCTTATTTCTTGAAGTTTCTGTGGTTGACCACTTCTTCATTAGTTACCTGCAGCTGGCACCTTCCTGCCAAAGAAAAAGAAAGTATCTGAAGAAGTTTATCATGTATGCTTCTTTGTATCACCTACAGGAAAACTTCAGCAAATGGCTATAATCCAGATGAGGCAAGGCAAGACCTTTTAGTGTACAGATTGTACCAGAGACAAACTTTAAAAGACAAATATTTGCACTGAAAAAGCTGTGGCTGGTATTCCTATGACTACAACGGCAGAATTAAACAATATGCTACTCTCTAAATTGCAGCAACAATACATAGCAAACAATGGCAAAGGAACCTGACATTTAACACATCTTCAACAAATATGCAACAAAAACCAATTAGCATCCTAGCCAATTCATTTAGCAAGTTATAAAAATTCCACCTCGTGTATTATTTTCTTGTATACAACTATCATGCGAGCATGGGTGCTATAAACCAATGAGTAAAATTATTTCTACATTTTAAGTTCTACAGTAAGTATCTTCAAACAACACAGTAGACAATTTTCATAACAATAAGATTTCAGCTGCCCTGAATACCTAAGAGTTCACCATTTTCCTTTAGAGTGTTTATTTTTTAAAAAAATGAAGGATAAAAACATGAAATTGTATCATGTAAGTGAGCTGCAACATACCATTTTAACTAACCATAGCAGGGATGGGACCCTTGCAAAGTTTTAATGGACACTTGGCTGGTTCATTTGCTCAGCAGGTCTATTGCTTGTCCATGGTGCATAAAGCTAGATTCCAGCAGGGGGAAAGATAGGTTAAGCAGCTGAAGTTAAAATAAATGAAAATATAATAGCAAAAACAAAAACCCACATCCCAAGAAACAAAAAACAGTAATCTTAAATTTTTCAACCACAATTGTTAACTTGGTTCATTGCTATGTTAAACTAGATAATATACCACTATACTGAAACAGTACACTGTCATATAGTATTAGTTTCTTGTTTTTGGAATATTAAGAAAGGAAAAGTAAATAAGATCTTACCTAAAGAAGTTTAACTGAAGCTTAGAACTATTTTGCTCTACACCCTCAGCTCTCGTTGGCATCCTTATAAAACTACTGTAGTTAAAGCTCTGCAGAAGTACAGCACAGCTTTTTAAGACTGGCTGAACTTAGTGCCGTTCTCAAGAGTTCTCTTGCACTAGACCTGTGTCCCTGGAAGAGTACCTCGCTGGGGATATTTCCTTTCCTTGCCATTGAAGAAGCAGCATCTAAAAGATCTAAAAAGGTGTTTCTCCTTGCAGAGATATCCCTTAAGTTATCTAGGTATTTTAAACCTGGTGATTTACAGAAAACATTATCTGACCACATTTACATGTACAACAATGACTTTGTAGTATTTGTGGGACCTTCTACTACCCACTCCTTGCCTTAATTTACAACGTATTTTAAATAAATCTAAGATTACACAACATTTCCTTTAGAATTATTTTATTAAATCATAAATGTACAACAGCTTCTTAACTCTACACACGCACTTAAATTTTTAAAAGGAAAACGTTATGTCTTATTACACCATGATCCTGGCTAATAGCTTTTCAAAACTTTGAGAAAATTCTTTAAAAAAGGTTTCACATGTCACCTGAAACTTACAAATTTAACATTATCAAAGGAATGCTTCTACACTCTTACAAAGACCACTAGAAAGAAACAACAATTAAAAAGCTAAGAAACTGTCTCAAAGGCATTTTTACAATCCTTCCTCCACAGTAAGGTATGTTATTAAATAATCCAATCCATTCACAAAATGGCTCTCTGCATCTGCTCTGGTGTCTTCTGCCATATCACTGCATATTTATGCATGACTGAGATAAGTTTCCTTAACAATGTTATTCGAAAACCTGAAGCTGTTCTTTTACCTCTGGGCTCATCCTCTCCTATTTATACAGTGAAGCCTGTTTCAACAGAAGTAAAGAGTAAAAAAATAGGTTATGAAGTTATCCATCTACCCAATTTCTTTTTTAAAGGAAAGATAATATCCTAAAAAGCTTTTACCCCTGCAGCTAAAGTCAAGAAACACTGCAATTTTAGCATTTTAAAAATGTACACTCACCCATGAAAAGCTTACAGAAGATCAATAACGGCTCCGCCCTCCATATCCCCCACTTCCTCCACTTCCTCCAGGACCATAGTTTCCTGTATTGTTAAAATGGAAAGCATAAAATTAACAGATGAACAGCCATTCTCAAGCTTCATCAAAATCTTACTTTTAAATTGCAATCACCCAAATTGCTCAATTCTACAACAGCCAATTAGTGCTCTCAACATCTTTCAATCAAAACTGACATCAAAGTAGATCACCAGATCTAACTAAATCTACAAACATTCCTGTCTTAGAACTGTGTCAACAGGGGGAGGTGGTAGCTGCCCTTTTCAAGGAGACACAGATCGATCTGTACAACATGTATGCCAGGCTTTCACAACCTGACCAACTCCCACTTGTTTTGGAGTACAAGTCCCAGTAGCCCAGGCCAAGTATGGCTAATTAAAGGGGATAGGGGAAGTTGTAGTTTAAAGACTGATGTATGCAAATGGCAAAAGAGATTCCTCAGAATTATGCTACAATTTGGAATGACCACAACTAGGCCTCCAGAAAGGGTTGTGCAGGTAGGAATAGGTTTGATTCTTAATTGCTGGGTCACCGGGGGCAGTCCACTTCAATTGCAAGTTACCTCTTGACTTTCTATGTATATACAGCTTTCACGCCTATTGGGAAAAATAAAGCACTACAATGGGAGTGGGTTGCAGGGTGCAAACCCTCCCACTATCACTCACCGGTGTGCTATTAGGAAAAGATAGCAATGACCCTCTTCCTCTCCTAAAGGCAAATCCAGGATTTGTGGGAAAGGGGGGTAGATACTTTTCTATTTCACTTTTCGTATTACCTCCACCATATGGTCCTCCCATGTTCCTGCTTCCACCAAAATTTCCACTCTTCATTGGACCATAGTTTGAGGGCTGTTGGTTGTAGTTTCCAAAATCATTGTAATTTCCTCCTCCATAATTGCCTGAATCAGTAAAAAGTTTATGCTGATTAATCAAAATGCTAGCTTTGAATATAGAATATCACAAAAAACATGCCTTCGACTTATATAGAACGCTGTTGGCCATCACATGGACTGCAATGTTTTTTTAATACTCTACTATCAGCCTTTAGATCAGCCGTGATAAACAGCGATTTTTAGACCTTGTATTTTATCAAACTTCAGAACACCTTTTGTGTTCCAGTTTCAGAGCAATGTATTTTTATCTTGCCTTTCAGGCAATTATTATCCCCCACAGCACCCCAAATAATTTTAATAAAAAGACATACTCTGCCACCACAAATACTTTTGAATTCCTACCACAATAGAGAGGACTAAAGCTAGGGCCCAGTGTTCTAATTCCTTTCAACATTACCTCCTCCGTAGTTGTCATAGCCACCTCCATAGCCCCCACCCTGGTTGCCATATCCAGGTCCTCCACCACCATATCCTCCTCTTCCTCCGCCATAACCAGGACTGCCTCCAAAATTGCCACCTATTGTAAAACAAGTCTCAGTAAACATACAGAAAAACATGCAGCTTATATCAGAGTTGAACTTATATTTCATATAAAGTATTATGGCCACAACCATATCCTTTTAAAGAAATAATATGCATGTAGCAGACTTTCAACTTTTCTTGGAAACACACTTTTATACCACACAATTTTCCTCTATAAAGCAACTTGTAACATAGTGTGGGGGCTGCTACTTGACAAAAACCTAATCAATAGAAACATCAATATATGCTGCTATCCTGCAAGCCACTTGATACAATTATACTCACGTAATTGCACTTTGCAATAATTATGCGCATGTCTTGAAATCAAACCATAAAGCCACATCTGGTGCTTACAAAGGCACATGGCTTTGCAAGTGCTGATATTCAACAATGCTTGCCAAGGTGCAATACACACATGTATGTGGAAGCCTCGCGGGCCTTATTAGGTCTGGAGGCCAGAGGTCCTCCATCACTGATTTGGTTCCAAAAGAAAACTATTACAGCATATTTATATGGTTGACAATGGATTACGGGCATATGCTAGCAATCACATTGATTTTGAGTATTTTTAGACCCGACTGGACCATAAAGAAAATTTAATTGCTTATACCATTTCCACTAGAGCACACATACATACTATGTCTTCCTAAGCAAATTAAAGAGACTAACCTCCTGGTCCCCCGCCATATCCATTATATCCATCACCAAATCCACGACCGCCTCCATAGCCATCTGTTAAAAATAAAGTTTTTCCTATTAGTTTACCTAGTGCAAAAAATGAAAACATTAATGGTTGCTGGTCATATCATATTCACATAAGGAAAAGGAAGACCACCGTAACAGTGTTCTTATTTTTATGGAACCCCAGGTCATAAAAACTTTAACAGATTAGTCTACGTGGGCTTATTTAGTGCTTTGCAAAGATCACTGAACTGACTTACCAGATCCACCTCTGAAGTTACTTCCAGGTCCAGGTCCAAAGTTTCCACCACCTCCACGCGAGTCTCCGAAGCCAAAGTTACCTGAAAGTGTTCATCAGCTTCAGTTAACTACAATACTATTTCCAAAATATTTAATGTAAATACGATGCAATTTGCAAACATACCTCCTCGTCCACTCCTTGAGCTCTGAACCTCTTGCATTTCTTGTCTGGATAAAGCTTTTCTTACTTCTGCATTATGACCATTGATAGTATGGTATTTCTGCACTGTGTTCACAAAAGATGGGGGGGTGGGGGTGGAGAGAATAAACAAATGATGCAACCTTCAATCTAATCCCTCACAGCAGTTTCAGTTCAAAATTAGAGAAAACATTAATGAAGACTGCAACACTGGTGAAATTCAATTTTATACCCTGACTTTCTACACTAGTACAAAATGTAAACCTCAACATGCATCCTTTTCCTGCTAGAGGCAGGAGAGCCCAGTTCTAGTTTGTTGTTCAGCAGGCAGTGAATACCTTCAGCAAGAAAGGTGTGCATGGTCCCCATGACACCTTCTTGCAGGAAAGTGGAAGATGTTCTTGCCACTGCTCAGCAGAAGAGATCCAAATACCTCTGCCATATCACAATCTGGCAAGCAACACTGATTACTTGGCTACCAAGGCCAGCTTAAAACAGTGGCAACCATTTTCTTGCACAGTATAAACTTGGTATGCAATTTACATATATGCATGTAAGAAGAAATGGCAGCCTGCAGTGGTTACACTACATCCTGAAATGACTTGCTTGCTGATACAGTGATATAGAACCAGGCCTAAACATGGGTACATAAAATATGTAACAGTGACAAAGATTGTTAATAGTATTTACTTACATACAATTTTATCCACTGGATCATGGTCATCAAAAGTTACAAATCCAAAGCCCCTCTTTTTACCAGATTGTCTGTCTGTAATTATTTCAATTGTGTCGATTTTTCCATATTCCGAGAAGTAGTCTCTAAGGTGATGTTCCTCAGTATCTTCTTTAATTCCACCAACAAACAATTTTTTCACAGTTACATGAGCTCCAGGTTTTCCAGATTCCTTGAAAAATAAGTTTAGCAAAACTGCCTAGTTAATTGTTGGTCAAACAAAAAACAAAACAAAACCCTGAATTTCTAGTTGCTGGTGTTAATGAATAACTAAAAATGTGAAAACTGTCCATTTCCATTTCTGCTGCATTAAATAAACATCAGAAAATTTTAATAATAGTGTAGGAAACTGACACATTAAGCAGTATTTATTTCAGGAACGTTTCAGCAGTTGTCTTTTTCTGTTATCGCTATGACCTATAATTTTGGCAAAGTGTAACATTCATAAACACTATAAGAACGCTCAGATCACTTCACGTACATTAGCATGTTGCAATGCTGAGAACAATCCTGTAAAATTGTTTATTATCCCCATATATTGGGGTTTGAGTGGCTTGAGTTCACAGCATAGGCAAGACTTGAACTAGGAGTTTCCCCATTTGTAAGAGTTTGAGGCAATATGCCATGCCAACACTCAGCTTCTACCATCAAATATATTAACTTTAGATCCCTGGCTTTTGTTGTACGATCACAGAATTGAAAGGAACTCTGAGGATAGTCTAGTCCAGGTCACTGCAGCGCAGGAATATGCAGCTGCCCCATCCAGAGATCAAACATGCAAACCTTGGCATTATGAACACCATGCTGTAACCAACTGAGCTTTTTCCTCAGCTGCATGCTGCCAACATTCAATGAACTGCTTGAGACCTGCCACAGAAAAGTCACTGCATGAAATCCATACCTCAGCACAGGTTAAGGAAGTATTGCTAAATGGGTCTAGCCCACTGAGCATGTACGTCCTCCAAGTTGCAGTATTTTACATGCAGCAGCAAAAACATTTTCTGAACAATATAAACTTGTCTGCTTTAAGAGACACAGATAAGAGATAAAAATATCTCAAATTTAAAACAGAACAAAACTTACCTCCCTGGCTACAGCTCTTTTCGGCTCAACTACTCTTCCATCAATGGAATGAGGTCTGGCAGCCATTGCTGCATCAACTTCAGCCATGGAAGAGAATGTTACAAAACCAAATCCTCGTGAGCGTTTGCTTGCAGGGTCTCTCATAACCTACAAGATGAAGGTTGTGCATTTCAACTATTAAGTTCTAAATTACAATTATTGCCACACACATTTTGCTATCAGCAATAATTCTGTTTAGCAATTACTTTTCTAAGCAGTTGCTAAGAAGAAATACAACTGTACCCTAAAGAATGTAGTTTAAGAATTGAAGTCTGAACAAATAACCGAGGAAAAGAATTTGGAAACTATCAAAGGCTGTCAGCGAATAGTACTGCTGCTAGCAGGGATTGCTAATCTGTAGCTCTCCATGTTACTGGACTTAAACTCTCTTCAACTCCAGCTAGCATGGTCAATGGTCAGGGATAATGCAAGTTGTAGTTTAACAATATCTGGAAGGCCACAGGTTCCTCATCCCTTGACCAACATATATTCTAAGTTATACACAATATATTTCATGAAAAAGGAATTATAGGCTTCATAAAAAGTGATGATTGAATGTTTCCATTTTCTGATTTTAAAAATCACAATCTATGTTAATCAATGGCTAAATCAGGAAAGCTTACTGACATTAACCTGTCACTACCCAAAAATAACATTTTCTATTTGTGTTATTAAGAGAGATTCTAGACTGAAAGCTAAAAATAGTATACAAGCACCATTAGCTGCAAGGAAGAACTAAACTTCTTAATCTCAGAAAAGATGCAATTGTTCTCATGGGTGATCGATGTCTATTAACCATTGAAGAGTGTATCTCACATTTCAGCACAAAGGAAACAGAAGTCTGCTCTTCTAGACAAATCTGAAGACAGTTATGGCTGCTAATGAACCAAACATGGTTTCATCCTGCATCCTGTCTTCCAGTGCATCTGGGTTCAAAGAGGACCAGACTAGCAACCAGAATATATTGCCTATTTTTTCCAGATTAATTTCCCCCCATACCCAAAGCTATCTAAAATCAAAAAGATTAATGCACACAACTTACCACACAATCCGTTAACTTTCCCCATTGCTCATAGTAGTTTCTCAAACTTTCTTCTGTGGTTTCGAAGCTTAAGCCACCAATGAATAGTTTGCGGAACTGCTCTTTTTCCCTCTAATTCAAAGGAGAGAAAAAATAGTAATATAGCATACAATTTCTTCCTAAACACATACTAGATTTTATATATCCAACAATAACTGAGACACTATCTTTTCTATTTGGGTCAAGCACTTCAGTTGGAAAAATATAAAAAATACATAATCTAGGTTTTATGTTTGCCAGGAAACAACTGAGAAAAGCCTTTTTGAACTTGATGCCTACCAAAGAAACACAGGATTTAATACAAACTGGAAAATAGTCGTAGCTAATCTTTTTGATTCTTTACAGCAGGGGGAGGATGTTGAGCTGAGAATCGTGCAAGATTTTTCCAGATATGTGAACCTATAGACCTCACAATTTAACATCCTGATAATATGGCTTCAAGCACTGATCAGTATGTACTCTAAGACTCAGAAATTCTACTCTGGAGCACACACTCTATGTCATTTGTGGCAAATAAAAACCTCCTCAAAACCAACCAGGTGAACTCTAACAATGTACAGTGGTACCTTGGTTCTCAAATGCCTTGGTACTCAAACAACTTGGAACCCAAACACTGCAAACTGGGAAGTAAGTAAGTTCCAGTTTGCGAACTTTTTTCCTAAGCCAAACATGCTCCTGGTTTCTCCAAACTGCAGTAAGAAACACTGCCAGTTTCTTCTTTACCCTTTTTCAATGTCTGCAACATAGTTGCGCATTACAAACTTCTACAAATGGTATTGTGTTTCTATGTATGCTAGTCCAACAATAATTATATGGATATTTAGTATACGACAAGCTGTTAGTTCAGGGGCTGTTTCTATCCCTATGGCCCACTTGAGAGGGCAATATGGTGAAGAACAAACAGTCACAAGATGGACCAAGCTTGTTTTTTCCAGCTCTGGAGGCTAGGACCAGAACCCAAAGCAATGGATTCAAGTTACAAAAAAGGAGATTCTGACTAAACATCAGGAAGAACTGAGAGCAAGAGTAGTTGATAATCGACTCACACAAGAGGTGGTGGACTCTTCTTCCCTAGATGTTTTTAAGCAGATGTTGATTGCTATCTGTCCTGTATGATTTAGTTGTAGGGGGTTGGACTAGATGACCCTTGTGGTTCCTTCCAATTCAGTGATTCTAAGAGGTTGCCATAATCAACTGGCAATTACTGACATCACCATTTACTTCCATATGATCCCTCTTGATAATTGCCATACTTTTTGACACAGTAATTTCCTTGTGGCATTGAGTTCCATAGTTCAGCTTTCCTCAAGTCAAAAACACTGGCTCTGGAGGTGACATGCCCTAGCATTCCCATTTTAGGCAGAATTTGCTAATCTAGAATCTCTAAAACAGAGCCACATTAGTTTGTATCTCCTGGCCCCAAAAAAGATGCCTCTCAAAGTATTCATCTATCCATCAGTTTGTAGAGAATAGTATTGTTATTTCATTACTTCTCCTTGCTCTATAAACCTTTACTTCCTCCAACACTAGCTTCCTTCTCTAATCACCATGCTGCCTATTCCCAATAAATATTACCCCACTCTTCTTTCATTTCCTGGCCATCTTTACTCAATTCAGGGAGGTGATTAATGCCTTCTTGAGAAAGCGGGTGGTCCCTACCTGCTTGAAGGAAGCAGTGGTAAGACCGCTCCTTAATATGCCCTCCCTGGATTCAGAAAATCTAAGTAATTACTGGCCAGCTACAAATATCCCCTTCTTGGGCAAGGTTCTTGAGTTGGTGGTTGCAGACCACATCCTGGCACTCTTGGAGGAAATTGATTTTCCAGATTCATGTCAATCAGCATTTAGGCCCACTTTCAGCAAAGATATTACTTTTGTTGCCCTGTATGATCTCTGTTAGGATAGGAGATATGCATCCCTGTTAATTCGCCTTCACCTCTCAGTGGCTTTCAGTACCATCAACCATGGTATCCTTGAGTGAAAATCCAGGATGGGGGTAACTCGCACCGATTTGCAGTGGTTCTGGTCGTACTTGGATGGTAATTTCTAAAAGGTTATGCTTGGGGAGAGCTCTTCAGCCCCATGGAGCCTTCAATGTGGGGTTCCTTGGGGTTCAATTTTATCCCCTATACTGTTTTATAAACATCTACAGCACATGAAACTGCTGAGTGGGGTCATCCAGAGCTTTGTAGTACATTGCCAGCAATATGCTGCTGGCGCAGCCTCAAGGACTGACTCTTGCCTAAGAACCAACCTAAGCCCTACAATAACATCTCAGGCCCTTCTTTGTGTGCCTCCTCCATGAGGTCATAGAATCATGCAACTATAGAGTTGGAAGGGATCCCAGGGGTAATCTCGTCCAGTCTCCTGCAATGCAGGAAATTACAGCTAAACAATCTCTGACAGAGGACCACCAAACCATTCTTTGAAAACTTCCCATCTTTTGAAGGGTGGCAACACAAGAATAGACCATGGTTCCCCATTTGTGGTATTCTCTCCCCAATGAGGCTTGCCTGGTGCCTTCATTACATATCTTTAGGCACCAGGCAAAAACAATTCTATGTAACCAGGCATTTGGCTGATTGAACATTCCATGGCCTTTTAAATGTGTTTTGTATGAAGGTTATTTATTTGTTTTTATTCTTGTTTGATTATGCACATTGTGCTCTGGTTTTGTATTGTTATGCTGTGAACTGCCTATGATTGTCAGATGAAGGGCCATATACAAATTTAAAATAAACTTCCTCCACCTACATGGGTACATGCACACAGGTCAGCTATCCAGTTCCTAAAGCCAGTACAGTCATACCTCAGGATAAATATGCTTCAGGCTAAGTATTTTCGGGTTGTGCTCTGCAGCGACCCGGAAGTAACAGAGCGTGTTCCTTCCGGGTTTTGTCGCTTGCGCATGCACACTGTCAAAATGATGTCACGCGCATGCGGCGAAACGCACCTGGTGCATCTTACCTTCTATTCAGGATGCGAACGGGGCTCCAGAACGGATCCCGTTCGCATCCTGAGGTACCACTGTATGTTATTCTGAGATAGAGTGAAGTGTTCTTCTAACCAAAAGCTTCTGGAGAGGCTTCCTAACTCATAACTTTGGGGGGGTGGCATGCTTAGAGGAGCCAAGAATGCACAGGAACATCCCAGAGATGCTTTTTTTCCCTCTCTCAATGCCAATACAACTGCCCATTTTGCCTCCTGCCTTCCAATTTTTCTCCTCCCCTCACACTTGGCCAGCCACATTGATATCTATTTACTCTTTCCTCCCTTCTACCTGCTGCCACTGTGCACATGGGGACCTGCTTAGGGAGGAGGGTGAGAAAAAGTGGATGTATGAGAAGGCACTGACCAGCTCCTTGAAAGGAGGCTGAGGCCCATCAATAATCCATGTCCACAGCTTGATAAATATACTGTTGTTGTTTTTTGCCACCACTACCCAAATTTAGGGCACAGAAATGTGCATAAGAACACCATAGCCAAGAATTAGGATACAAGCAGAAGATTGCCTGTATATCAGTTTTCCAGAGCACAGTACTGTATTCTCCACAGTATTCCTCAGCAGAAAACAGAATGTGAAATGAAAATTTTCAGATTGTGAGGAAAACAGTTCTATTTTATATGTATGTTTCTTCCTGAGAGCCCTGTTGAGCATAAGCCATTTTAAAACAGCAACCATGTTTAATTCATACTAAAATAAATCATAACTATAGTGGAAAAATTGCCATAAAATAAGGGATGATAATTTCAACAAATTTGTAGGCCAAATAACCAACCGAGCAGAAAAACAGCATTATAGTCAGCCCCATATCTTTTTCACAAAATGTGGACCATTTTCAGTTCTCGTTGTGTTTCAAAGACCCCATAAGCAAGAAAAATTTTATTACTTTTAAGATAACTGTGTTTTTCATACTTTTAAAGCTTTACCACACTTTGGTTTTACAACATAATAGAAGTTGACAAAATATTCTAGACTGATCGGAAAATAAAGGAGTTAAGTTGCATCTACTATGCATTCCCCACATTTACTCCCCAAAAAGCATGTTTATCGACTTGCTCTCAAGTCTAACAGGGTTGAGAAACAAGGGTTGTCCAAGCAGTTTGTGGGTCAGACCTAGAAAGGTCGCCATGGGGAATTTAACATTACTACTGACTCAAACCAACAGCAGTCTGGAATTACTTTAATTAAGAAATGTAGCCCTGTACCTAATAACTGCAACTAATGCCACTGGATATTAGCAGGGAGTGTGCACTACTGACCAACCCCCTACCTTTTAAGATTCTACTACACTCCCGGAAATACTATTTAAAAAGTTCCCGAGGCAAACTAACGCTATTCGTTAAGTGCGATAAGGCCCCGCGCTTCGCTGCGTTTAAGCCTTCAAGCCCCAAAGGTTCAAGGAAGTAAGCGGCAACGTGTCTGCTGAGGCAAACTCTTTTGATTTATCGACTTTAACAGAACGATCTGAAACACCTGATGAGGAAGGCAGATGCGAGTTTATAAGCCTTGCTCACCCTTCAAGAACTTAAGAATGCCATAGGGTTGGCTGCTCCTCCGCCTCTCCAGCGAGGATGGCTCCGCCATGTGACGGCTCCGAGAACCCGAGGTGCACAGCGGGCTGAGAGAAAATGGCGCCGAGCACCACCGGGAGGGGGCTCGTTCCCAGAAGGCCAAGAAAGGCTACAGCATTCCGCTCTGCTGCGCACGCGCGCTCCCCCCTCCCCATCAGATTAGGGAGGAGGGCGAGGGAACCCGCCTTTTGTCTTTACTCGCTCCTTCACTTCGTACGCTTTCGCTCCCTCCTTTCCGTACTATACATACGGCTCAGTCCTTTTCCAGTAGACTGGAAATGGAAAAAAACTACTGACCTCCATAATTCTCCCTAGTCCTATGTGGGGGGATCCCTAACTTGTCGTAACTACTTAGCCGCCACAGCCTCCCCCCGCCTCCTCAAGGGCTGCCGTCCCTTCCAGAACCTTCCACACTAACGTCTTCAGTAGCGACAAGCGCCGCCAACTGCGCCACCAAGTGTTTTCCAGTTAACGGACTCTGCGTCATCTCAGGTATCTACGCTACTGGCGTATTGTGCCGCAGTTAGTCCCCGCGCTAGTCAGCACCACTACACCGCAATCCCTTCCACGCAAACTGACTAACACCCGAGCTTTAGGTTTCTCCCGCTAACGTAACGGAGCTACGTGCTTTGCGTAACGCGGTTGGGGAATGCAATCCCGTCTTTCTGGCAATGGCGGACCTCATTCTTACGTAGTTAAAAATTCAAGCATCCTTGCCGCCCCAGGTTTTTTTTTAAATACGCGAAACCACAAAATTGGCGCGACGTAACGGGGCAGAAAGTAATAACGAATCGAGCACTCTTCCACAGTGTACTGTGCTTTTTGCTTAAACCATCGTTAACCTGAGGTAACGCAAAGCCGTTTAACATGGCGAGAGAGGTTTTTGAAAGGGACATCCAAAATGCGCATCGTCATCTCCAGCGAGGCCATCGACTGTTTCCGGCGACGTCCGGCTTTGGCCGAAGAGCGCCGAAGAGTACTCGAACCTCGAAAAAGCACCTTCGATAATTTCCGGAAAGAGCCGAAAGCAACAAAAGCCCACCCATTGCTGTAGTCCGGAAATTGCCGAAGATGCACGAAGACTAATAATCGCGCCAAAAAAAAAATGGGGAGTATAATTAACCAAGGCCCCATCCACCCCGCTTTCTGTATCAGCTTAACTAGCACTAACCTAGCGGCGCAAACGGTATGTAAGAGTGCGCTTTCTCCTCCCGCCCCCTCAAGCGCTTCCTTTGTCGCTTGGGGAAAATAAAAGCCCTGTCATTAATGGTATTCAAATTCAGTGCTGTATATTATATAGGTCCTGGCAAAAATATCTTCCGTGAGCGAGCGGCTGACGGCACCCGCCATTAGGCGCCTCCTGAGCCCCTTCAAGAAACAACCCACGGGACCAAATCTAGCCCCTTTTCCCAGCACCCGCCATTTACACCCCACCCCCGCTCTCTCTCTCTCTCTAGCGCCTTGGCTTTCCAGGAGGCTCGCCCGCCCGCCAACCCCATAAGGACACAATGAGTGTAAAAAGGTCGGCCATTACTGAGCCACGCCGTCCGTTACCTCACTCACCCAGTCGCTCTCCCGGTCTCCGCGAGGCATTTTCGGCCGGTTGAGGAAGCAAAGAAAAGCAAGGGAGGAGGCGAAAGGGTCTTTTAAAAAAAATTAAAAATCGCTGCGGTTTTTTTCCTGAGGCGAGCCCCCCTCAGCAGGCAGGCAGGCAAGCAGGCGCGGTGACGGCGGCGGCGGCAGCAGCAATGGAAGTGTGTGAAGCGGCTAACGACTGCGCGGGCGGCGGCGGCGGTGACGACGTCGACGGCGGCGCAGCAGCGAAGGGCGGGAACGAAAGAGGGCGGAGCCTCTGCTTCCTCGCGCAGCGGCGCTGAGGGGAAAAAAAAAACCTGCCCAGCCCCCCTCCGCGCTCCCGCCCTTGGCTGCGGCTCCCTCCCCGCCCCCCTCCTCTTTCCCTCCCTGCCCTTCCGCCTCGCGCGCGCGCTCCCCGCCCCCTCAGATGTAGCTGCTGCCGTTGCCGCCGCCTCAGTGCGCGCCGGGAGCCAGGAGACTTCGCGGGAGCCGAGCGCCGCTGTGCACACCATTGGAAGTCCGTATCTTTCGCTTTCTTCACCCCCCCGCCTCACTTTCCTATTTCCTCCTCCCCCCCCTCTTCTAACGGCCGTTCCGAATAACAGGACGGCGAGGGGGGGACCAGGGCGCCTCTCTTCTTTCCCTCATTATTAGGATTATGTTTTATGTAACTCTGTGAGGGAGGCTCAGGCGTGGCCGCTTTCCCTTCCCCACCCCGCTCCTCCCGCCTCAGGTTTGGACCGCCGCCGTTTCTTTCCGCGCCTTGTGGGGCCTTAAAAAAAAAAAAAAAACCCCACAAGTGCTCCTACCAGCTAGGCCTTTCCCACCCCCGAACCCGCTTTGGGGGCTATTTGTTTGGAGGTGGGGGGTGGGGGAGGAGGACGATGACCACGCATCCCCACCCCGCCTCGGGCCTTCACTTCCGAAGTTTAAAAATCGCTTGCTCCCTACTTGGTGTCCTAATGGGGATTGTAGTCGGGGGCTGTTTCTCACTCCACTCCCGCTTTTCCCCCCCTCAAAAAAAGAAAAAGAATCAGCAAATGGTGATGGGGGGAGGAGGAGGCACAGGCCGCGAACAAAGCAGAGATCAGAAGCGTGGACTTCTATAGATCTGTAGATATAGATGAAGGTTCAGTGCCTTGGATGGGGGTGGCGTTGGGGTTGCAGATGGGGGTCAAAGCGTGGCGGTGTCTTTTCAAGCTCGTCGAAGGGAGGAGGCGGCGACGGCGGCAGGAAGTCGTCCTAAACGACGCGGTGATATGGCGCTTTCCACCGCAGCCGATCCTGCATCTTTGCCTTCTCATGTTCTTGGTGATGGGAGAGGCCCGTTTGGGTCTGCTTTCCTTCCCCCTTGCGCGCTCACCTCGTGCTATTATGACCTATTTTAGCTTTCATTTCTTTGCAACAGGCCTTTGTTGCTCTCGCGTTCCGGGTTTCTTTTCTTTCCTTTCTCCTAAATGGAAGCACGATTGGCCTGGCTTGAAATTATCCTATGATATCTTATCTCCTGCAAGGTGGTGGTGGGAGGCGCTCAGGATTGCTGAGTGCAAGAGAGCTGCGGGGGAGGAGGGAGGGGGTTGGTTTCCCCCTTGCTTTGCTGAATCTCAAGGCTGTGATGCTACTTTTATAGCTCTGCAGAGGAAACGCCATGAATCAGAACTGCAGAATTTGAGAAAGTGTTTTGTATTTACTTATCTAATGTTTTGGAATTGGCAAAATGTTTTATTGTACAGTTTATGTGTAAAGTTATGTGTCAAAAGTTGCAGTGGTCACCTATATAGTAGATGTACTGCTGATTAATAGACTAATCCTGAATCTTCTTGAATGGTTGCATCTACCACTGATCTAAGTACATACAAATGGATTCAGGATTCTGTAATATACCTTACAGTTGAAGATTTTATTTCATTATAACTTGTTGTCTTAGAGATTTTCAAAATAACAATTTCCTTCAAACTTTTTTTAGTGCTAACTCAGGATGTGTGATATTTGACTAGTGAAAAGGCATATAATGTATTGTAGGTAACTGTTATTCCAAATAATAACTAGCATAATGGAGGCTTAATTTCATACTCTATTAATGTACTTGAAATAGTTTTTTCCCCATCACCTGGATAGAAGAAGGACCATACTTGTACTGAGATGCCTTTCTCTGAGTAATGCAACATTCCTTTTGTCATGCATTTTTCTAGTAAAAGCTCAGCAAGTCTGCAATAAAAATGGCCACCAATAAATCTACATTGGTAAGTTCATGACCACCTAAAATATGTAAGGATTTTACCACCATATTTCTTCAGATTTATTAAGTTGGCATCTCTGTGTAAAAAGATACATCCACATCTCCCCTCCCCAGCATTATTTTCCAAAAAACACCAGACACTGAAAGTGGGTGATATCCAAATGACTTGGACTCATTTGGCTCAAGTAACATAAATCCGTTGATTTCAGTGCATCTTCTGAGTATGGCTGCATTGGATATCAACAAGTAAGGTTGCTGGAAACCACTCTGAGGTAAATTTTTATAGCAATGTGTTTTGTTATTGAAGCCTGATACATGATTCAATTCCTCACCTCTGTTTTATAGAGGTAATAATGTACGTTTCGCTTGAGGAAATGGTATTGCGTGGGTGGTAGATTGCAATCTATTTAAGAGGGCATGTGGTGGCATCTAGTGCCAGTTCCAGTTTATATTAACAATTATATTGTGGTAGCAACATACCTAAGGGACGTGGGTGGTGCTGTGGTCTAAACCACTGAGCCTCTTGGGCTTGCCTTATCTTCACGGGTGGTAGGTATGTAAGCCATGGTTTGTTTGCATATGATCATTTAATATAACTGATCATGATTCCAGCACATACTAAAACACTTGACATAAGGTCAGAGTTGGAGGTCTTGGTTTAATTGAGGTTGTTTTCTAAACACTTGGATGCCTGGGACACAAGAGACCTGTTCAGGCATTAAAGCCTTTTGATGGTTGGAATCATGCAAAGGGGAGAGTGAGACACTTGCTGGCCCTGGTACCTGCACTGGTGCACAGCCTCCACACCTTGTGTAAGGTGTAATGTGATTTAGAACCCTGCACATGAGGAGCACAAGTACTGCAGACCTTTGTCCTCCAATGTGTGGAGGGCAGTGGGGACAGGGCAGAAGAGGCAGGTCCCTGGTGCCCCCTAATTTCCAGAGTTTTAATGCATCAATAAGGCTTAGTTATATTTTTTCCTTCTGAATTAACTCACCCTTCATTCTTACACTTAAAATGATAAATATATACATGCTTCCTCAATCCACACCTTGAAAATTTGGCACATGTTTTTTGCAACTACAGTGGTACTTCTGGTTGTGAACGGGATCCGTTCTGGAGCCCCGTTCGCAACCTGAAAGGAACGCAACCCGCGTCTGTGCACGCACAGGTCGCGATTCGCCACTTCTGCGCATGCACGTGACGTCATTTTGCGCGTCTGCACATGCGTGAGTGGCAAAATCCAGAAGTAACCCTTTCCGGTACTTCCGGGTCGCCGCGGGACACAACCTGAAAAAACGTAACAAGAGGTATGACTGTACAGGATGGTGGCCTGCCCCCTTGTTACCTGTGTTCACTCAGTCAAGGATGAAGCTGCGTTTCTAAGCAGTAGGAATATTTTTGGGAATTCCCATGCTTTAGTTAATTGTAGCATAATGCAGTACTATTCAAAGTGGTGGTCCTTGATCAGCTGCTGGTCCAAGGCAACTCCACCATAGTCCAGGTTGGGATGCTTCAGGGACCAAGTAAGATATTGGTCCCTGGCACATGGAATTGGGAAATGTTGCCCATCCACCACATCAGATAGTTTGAGAAGCACTGACGTAATGGACATCCTTCCTCACTCTTGCAAGCTTAACACAACTTGAGGGAAGATCCATGTGCTTCTCTAGCTCCTAGTTGAAGGTGATCGTTAGAATGGCTATGGTCCTACAAGATGTAGCATGTGTCACCAACTGCACAAATTAGTCCCTTTTACCTCTGGAGCTGGAGAAAGAAGCTAGAATGATTTGCATGGTAACAAATGTGCATTGAGTTCCTTGGCTTCCTAGCACCCAAATGAATTCTTACTTTCCTCCCTTCCACGTTTGCAGCCAGAAGGGAAGGGAAGTCAGTGTCCCCAAGTAGCACTGTGTGTCTGAAGCACTTTCGGGTATCTTGTCCTCATCGCTTTTTGGAGCTGGGGAAGCAGCACTAGGGATAATTTCTGGCCTCAAGCAGAAATACAGAGCAAGGTGAGGTACCAACAGCTCAGTTCTGTGCAGATCTACTCTGTGGTAAGTCCCACGGATTTAGATGAGGCACTGCTAGATAACTGAGGCCAGGCCAGCCAACACTTAGGGACTTGTGATCATGCAGTCCGATGCGTCATTCGTTTTTCCCTGGGATAATGTTTTGCTGCACATATATTACTAAAGAGAGGAGAGAATCAGTGCTGCCTTTGCCCCTCCTCATTCCACCAAGTATGGAACAAGGATGCAGCCAACATAGTAGCTTCATTTTTCAAGATACACTTCAGCCCCTCTCCTGGAGCAGTATTGGCCCTTGGCATGCAATTTAGAAGGTGCTGAACTAGGAGTATTATCAAATAGTTCCTGAGAGAGGAAAGTGATCTCTTAAGACAGGTGGCAATGGGAATTCAATAGTAAAAATTAGTTGTGTCTGTAAGATTCAGTAAGTAAATTTAGAGATGTAGCGTTTCTAGAAATTTGAAATTATGGAGGAAAAATACTCATTTTTTGTTTGGGAAAATGGAATTCAGTGGGGATGGGTTAAATATGGATGCAATATTGTCTTTGCTGTCAAACCTAAGCTTATTTTACTGTTTTAAGATCATAAAATTCATCATTGATCTATCAGTTGTCCTATTTACTGTATTTATTAAATTACATATCAATCCAAGGGATGTTTACACAGAAAACACACCCATTTGGTTTTACTCCCAGGTGAGGAGACAGGAAATGGAAGAGACAAGTTCTGGCGCTATTTATTTTGTTATTGCTCTTCACATTTCAGAGTTTAAAACTCCTTCAGGAGCTGTAAAAAAATTGGATCTCCAAAAACATTGAATTGTGAACTTAAGCTTTAAAAAAACCCAACAGTTTCAAACAGGCTGTGAAGGTTGTAAATTAAGAGAAAATTCTTTCTGTGTCTCTGCATGATACTCCCATCGTTCCCAATAGCAGTATTCCATACAGAAGAAAGTTC